GGGGGGTGAGGTTTGGTCTGGTTTCTTTTGACATAATGTTTTTGAGATTTATTTACACTGTATGTGTTTCTAGTTTATTTTTTTGTCCACAGACTAGATTTTGTTGATTAAAATCCCCATGTGTTGTATAGGATGTTCTTCTGTCTTTTCTGGGTCCTATAAAATGGCACATTTTATCTTCTGATTTTTTCATTGTATAAACCCTGTGGGTCTGTATTCCTACTTCATCTGTTAATCTCTACAGAAGGTAACAAAAAAATCCCATGCTGTTTCACTAATAGGTAGAGACACACTTGTTACTTGGCAACTGATTTAGACAAATTAAAATATTGAGAAGGGTAGTGGAAGATTCTAGTTGAAACAAACTCACTATGTTTGTTTTAGGTATTTTTCATCCATTCCACAAACTGTTCCTCTCACCATATGAGAGGTCAGGTCTGATTTGCATAAATGTATTAGCCCACTAAAATATGTCAACTGCATGATTTTAAAACTTCACAGTGCTTTTTCAAGGGCTTACAAAAGTAAGCATAATTCCTTCCTTGGGTTGGAGTTAGCTATGTGTATTCATTTTCTTTTCCTGTTAATCCTGTGTAATTTGCTATACTTCGCTTTTCTGTTATATCACTTGCTTATATGAAAACAATTTGTACCAGAGCAGAAGAAGCTAAAGAATCGTATCAGAAGAAAATAACTGGAGGGATCTTTTGTCTTTCCCATACAGTTAGCTTACAGAAAGGAAAACAAAACTAACACAAAAATTTGTTCTTATGGTTATATTTTTCTTTAGAAAATGCTCTGCACTTCTTGTGGCGTGAAATTGTTACCTCTGAGGGCTTGAAACTCTACTATAATCCATACACAGGCTGGTAAGGCAAATTTTTATTTATGTGCTTATTTTTTAAAAAAAATAACCATGAAAAATGATAGGAGATTGTTTTTAGCCTTGGCAGAACCTCACGAAAGAATACTCAGTACCTCGTTGTTGTTGTTAGGTGCCATTGAGTCGGCTTTGACTCATAGCGACCCAGTATACAGCAGAACGAAACACTGCCTGGTCCTGTGCCAGCCTCACAATCCTTGCTGTACCTGAGCCCATCGTTGCAGCCACTGTGTCAATCCATCTCGTTAGAAATTTTTATGTATAGGGCAGACATAGAATAAATAGTACTTGTCCTTTTCCGCTAAGTAAATGCAAAATAATAAACTTAAGGAGCTTAATTAACAATATTTAAAGTGAGATTATAATGTTGTTGCTAGGTGCCATCGAATCGGTTCCTACTCATAGCGACCCTATATACAACAGAACAAAACACTGCCAGGTTGTATGCAGTCCTCACAATCCCTGCTGTGCCGTCGTCGCAGCAACTGTGTCAGTCCATCTTGTTAAGAGTCTTCCTCCCCTTTTTCACAGCCCTCTACTTTACCAAGCATGATATGCTTTTTCAGGAAACGGTCCCTTCTAACAACATGACCAAAGTAAATGAGACAAAGTCTGGCCAGTCTCACTTCCAAGGAGCATTCTGGCTGCATTTCTTCCAGGACAGATTTGTTTGTTCATCTGGCAGTCCATAGTATTTTTACTATCATTTGCCAGCACCATAATTCATAGGCATCTATTCTTTTTTGGTCTTCCTTATTGATTGTCCAGCTTTCACATGCATATGAGACAACCATGTCTTAGATTAGGCTCACCTTAGTCTTCAAAGTGACATCTTTGCTCTTCGATACTTTAAAGAGATCTTTTGCGGCAGGTTTTCCCAGTGTAATACAACGTCTGATTTCTTGACTGCTGCTTCCATTGGTATTGATTGTGAATCCATGTAAAACGAAATCCGTGACAACTTCAATCTTTCTCCATTTGTCATGATGTTGCTTATTGGTCTAGTTGTGAGGATTCTTGTCTTTATGTTGAAGTAGAATCCATACTGAAGACTGTAGTCTTTGATCTACATCAGTAAGTGCTTCAAGTCACCCTCATTTTCAGCAAGCAGCATTGTGTCATCTGCATATTGCAGGTTGTTAAATGAGTTTTCCTCCAATTCTGATGCCATGTTCTTCTTCATATAGTCCAGCCTCTCGGATTATTTGCTCAGCATACAGATTAAAAAGTATGGTGAAAGGATACTACCCTGACACACACCATTCCTGATTTTAAACCACACGATACCCCTTGTTCACTTCAAATGACAGTTTTCCTGGTCTATGTATAGGTTTCTTATGAGCATAATTAAGTGTTGTGGAATCCCCATTCTTTGCAATGTTATCCATAATTTGTTATGATTCACACAGTCAAATACCTTTGCATAGTCAATAAAAAACAGGTAAACATTTTTCTGGTATTCTTTGCTTTCAGCCAAGTTCCATTTGACATCAACAATGATAACCCTCATTCCATGTCCTCTTCTGAATCAAGCTAGCATTTCTGGAAGTTACCTGTCAATATAGTGCTGGTGCAGCCGTTTTTGAATTATCTTCAGCAAAATTTTATTTGTGTATGATGTTAATGCTATTGTCGGATGATTTCCACATTCTGTTGGATCACCTTTCTTTGGAATGGGTACAAATATGGATGTCTTCCAGTCAGTTGGCCAGGTAGCTGTCTCCCATATTTCCTGACAAACGAGTCAGTGCCTCTAGTAAGTATGTGTTAAAACATCTCCGTAGGTGTTTTGTCAAATTCCTGAAGCCTTTTCACCAATTTCTTCAGTGCAACTTTGACTTCTTCTTCCTTAAGTATCATTGGTTCTTGACCATATGCTGCCTCTTGAAGTAGTTGAACATCGACCATTTCTTTTTGGTACAGTGATTCTGTATTCCTTCATCTTCTTTTGATGCTTCCTTCATCATTCAGTATTTTGCCCATAGAATCCTTCAGTATTGGGAATTGAGGCTTGAATTTTTTCTTCAGTTATTTCTGCTTGAGATATGCTGAATGTGTTCTTCCCTTTTGGTTTTCTAACTCCAGATCCCTGTACATTTCATTATAATACTTGGTCTTCTCTAGTTGACTTTTGAGATCTTTTATCTCATCATTTCTTCCATTTGTTTTAGCTACTCTCCATTCAAGAGCACGTTTCAGAATCTCTTCTGACATCCATTTTGGTCTTTTCTACCTGTCCTGCCTTTTCAGTGACCATTAGCTTTCTTCATGTATGAGTTCTTAATATCATCCCACGACTCATCTGGGTTTCATCATCAGTGTTAGTATGTCACATGTATTCCTTAGATAGTCTCTAAACTCACACAAGATATAATCAAGTTCTAGTTTGGTTATTGAGGACTTTTTTAATTTTCTCAGCTTCAACTTGAACTTCCGTATGAGCAACTGATGTTTTGCACCAGTCAGCTCCTGATCTTGTGTTGACTGAAGGTATTGAGCTTCTTTATCGCCTCCTTCCACAGATGTAGTCATTCTGATTCCTGCATATTCCATCTGGCGTGGCCCACATGTGTAGTCTCCGTTTACATCATTGAAAAAAGATATTTGCAATGAGTAAGTCAGTGGTCTTGAAAAATTCTGTCAGGTGATCTCCAGTAACATTTCTGTCATCAAGGCTGTATTTTCCAACTACTGATGATTCTTCTTTGTTTCCAGCTTTCACATTCCAATCACCAGTAGTCATCAGTACATGCTGATTGTGTGTTTGGTCAATTTCAGACTGCAGAAGTTGGTAAAGATCTTCAATTTCTTTGTCCTTGGCTTTAGTGGTTGATGGGTAAATTTGAATAATAGTCATATTAACTGGTCTTCCTTGTGGGCATGTGGATATTATCCTATCACTGACCGCATTGTACTTCAGAATAGCTCTTGAAACAGTCTTTTTGACAGTGAAAGTGATGCCATTCCTCTTCAATTTGTCATTCCCAGCATAGAGTATATGATTATCTGATTCTTAATGGCCAATACGAATCCATTTTAGCTCACTAATGCCTAGAATATCAATCTTTATGTGTTCTATTTCATTTTTGACTTCCAGTTTTCCTAGATTCATACTTTGTACATACCATTTTCCGATTATTAATAGATGTTTGCAACCGTTTCTTCTCATTTTGAATTGTACCTCATCAGCAAATGAAGGTCCCAAAAGCTTTACTCCATTCATGTCATTAAGGTCAACTCTGCTTTGAGGAGTTAGCTCTTTCGCAATTGTATTTTGAGTGCCTTCCAACCTGAGGGGCTCATCTTCTGGCACTATATCAGACAGTGTTTCAGAGCTATTCATGAAGTTTTCCAGTAATATATCAGGCAGTGTTTACTGCTATTCACAAAGTTTTCAGTGGCCAATTTGTTCAGAAATGGATGGCCCATCTTTCTTTATAGTCTGTCTTAGTCTGGAAGCTCCACTGAAACCTGTCCATCAGGGGTAACCCTGCTTTTATTTGAAATACTGGTGGCACAGCTGCCAGCCTCACAGCAACACATAAGCCATCACAGTACGACAAACTGACAGATGAGTGGTGAAGTGACATATTTTTCCTGAAACATGCCATTTTTTATTAAGAGTTTTAGGAATCATTAAACATAATTAATAAATCAGTAGTTATTTATTGCCCTTCATATGTTTTCTTCACAGATTCAAAAAGATCATAGAAAGAAGGCAGATGTGTTCCCTTTTAATTGTAGAAGAAATAGTGGATATTTACCAATGTCACTCTTGTTTCTACAGGCTACAGCTGGTTACAGTTAACAACTAGTTAACTCATGCAATTTTTTGACTATCACAATTTTATATTCATGATGTAGGGATTTGAATTGCTTCAAAAAATTTAGACTTTTATACATTTCTTCCAATCCTCTTAAGAAGAGTAGTTGGGAATATTTGATAGTACTTGAATATTTTATGCAAATAACACACACGTTAAATATTTTTTTCCACTTGTGCAACTCTTCACATTATTTTCCTAAGCATACTATGTGTGTTATATGCATGGACACATTATTTACATAGACTTGTTATTTGAAAAAAAAGCCCACAAAAAACTGTAATATACTTTTTAATTCTGTTTCTGTGATGTATTTTTCTTTTGTTTTCCTTTAGCATCATCCGTGACTACCCAAGTGCTGCACCACAGTTGCCTGGTGGAATCTTAGCAGATGAGATGGGCCTTGGAAAGACAGTGGAGGTTTTGGCTCTGATTCTGACACATACACGACAAGATGTCAAACAAGATGCTCTCACTCTTCCTGAGGTAGGAGGAGGACTGTAGGGCTTGAGAAAGCATGGGACATATGTTCTCAAAGAGCATCATATGTTGAACATTTGCTTGGCTCTTAAGTCAATACTTTCAGTGTACTCTGTGACTAATAATTTATATTACTTGTTAGTTAACTTCACTTGGACACAGAATAGAAGATTTTTGTGACCCAGAAGAATTTTTTGAACAATTTTATCCAGCTGGGAAAAATATATACAGTCACTTACCAAACATCTTTCTAGTTGACAGAGAAATTCTTTAAGAAAATACTGTTGCTTCCTCAAATGTTTTGTCACTTAGTACAAACCTAACCAATCTTGTTGCCACTGAGGGAATTCTGACTCATGGCAACCCCATGTATTACAGAGTAGAGCTACTTTATAGGGTTTTCTTGGCTGTAATCTTAAAGGAGGCAGATTGCTAGGACTTTCTTCTGTGGTGTTGCCGGATAGGTTCAGATCACCAACCTTTAGGTCAGTAGTGAAATGCTAACCATTTGTGCCACCCAGGAACCTCTTTAGTACTCACTGCAGGTGTCCATATTACCACTAAATATTTTTCAGAGCTGTTTAAAAAAAAAGTCCACAAATCTCAGATATGGGAATCTTAGAATCTAGTAATTAGCTTTGTTAAAAGATGGGTTGCCGTTGTTGTTATGTGCCGTCAAGTTGGACCCTACTCATAGTTGACCCCTCCTTGGGTTTCCAGGGCAGTATCACTACGGAAGTAGATTGCCCAGCCTTCCTTCCGAGGAGTGGCTGGTGGCTTTGAACCGCCAGCTTTCTGGTTAGCAATCAAGTAGCTTGGTAATTAGATTGCTAGTTAAAACAAACTCTTAAGTCCCTGTGCTAAAATATATAGTTATATTTTAAAATATGAATTTTAGAGTTTATATTAAAAAGAAAAAAGAAGAAGAAAAAAATCTTTTACCAAGGCAAGTACAGCTTCCCCTCCCTCCCAAAATGTATAGTTGTATTTTAAAATATGAATTTTAGAGTTTATATTGAGAAGACAAAAAAAAATCTTTTACCGAGGCAAGTACGGCTTCCCCTCCCTCCCAATAAGGAAATCAAAACCAGCACATTAAATCCTGCTAAAATGAGGTCATTAGTAAAGAGTGTAAATGGAATTCTCTCTAGGGCCCCCTATGTTCAAAACTTTAGGATTAGTGACCTTCTGATAGGGTCAAGTTTGCAAATTTGACTTTTCAAACTGGAGTAGGGAATGGAAAGAAAAATCTGTTTCCTTTGTAGAAGAATGGCTCCAAGTAGGTAGTTTTAACTGTCAGTAACTTCTTGCTGGGATTTTCTACTCACTAGATATTTTAATTCTAGCTTACTATTTTCAATATTAAAAAATTCAGTGTGTTGATTTATATATAAATAAGGTTTACAAACTTAATTCAAAAGTTCTGCACTTGGGAAGGGAGCTGTTGTATTGGAGTAAATTGTAGTCCATGTCATGAGACAAAGTGTGTGTGAACTACTGTGTGGAAAGTGAATTTGCTCTGTACACTTTCACCCAAATCACAATTTAAAACAAAAAAAAGGTATACACTTAACATGTAAGTAACTTGAGACAATATGCACAGTTTTAAAAAGTGATAGTTGCCTGTAAGGTCTGAAATGAAAAAATAAACTTTGTATATGTGGGTAACATTTAGCTCTAATTTTTTTTTTACAAGCTTTGCATTTTCTTAATAGAAGGAGTTTGAATATTATTAAGCAATTCAGAATGCTGAGAGCAAAGCACTCTATGACTAATGACTGTTTATATCAGGGAACCATGGTGAATTATTTTGCTCCGTCACCTTATTCTGGAGGAAAAGTGAAAAACAGAGAAACCCGGAATATGGAATTTGAACCAAAAGTAAAAGTTCAGTGTCCCCGTAAGTATGACATCTCTTAAAGATCATACATGTTTATTAACTCATTGTTATACTGCTTTGCAATCCTCATTTAGAGATGTTTTGTGATTGTTCTCAAGAACTGTTTTACAGATTTATATCTGTATAAATGGATTTGATTACAAGTTATATTATCTTAACAGAAGTAAGATTTATTCTTATGTTTGATTTGTCTCGGAGGCTCTTATTCAATCTGTTAAACGTACATTTTTCACATTTACTACTCAAACTAAAACCAAAAAACCAAACACACTGCCATTGAGTCGAACCCAACTCATAACGACCCCTCCTTGGGTTACCAAGGCGGTATCACTACGGAAGTAGATTGCCTAACCTTCCTTCGGAGGAGTGGTTGGTGGGTTTGAACTGCCAGCCTTCTGCTTAGCAGTCAAATGCCTTAGGCACTCCACCACCAGAACTCCCACAATTTAAACTAGGCTTTGTTTATTTGCTAGCGTGGCTGTTTTCAGAGGGCGGAACAGGTACGGAGGGCAGAGGACGGCCCCCAAGGTGGCAGGGAGCAGCAGCAGCAGACAGGGCCAGTGGCCAGAACAGGTAGGGGGAAGCCCAGGAAGTGAGCGGACCAGTTGGAACAGCTAAGGGAGAAGAACTTGTCTGTCGGTTTGTTGTACTGTGGTGCCTTGTGTATTGCTGTGAGGCTAGAGGCTGTGTCAGCAGGGGTGTCCATGGTGGACCAGTATTGATGGAACTTCCAGACTGAGACAGACTCAGAAGAAGGAAGAAGCCATCCACTTCTCAAAGAATTGGCCAGTGAAAACCTTATGAATAGTAGTGAAACACTGTCTGACATTTTACTGGAAAATTTTATGAATAGCCCTGAAGCATTGTCTGATACAGTGCCGGAAGATGAGCCCCTCAGGTCAGAAGGCACTCAAAATATGACTGGGAAAGAGCTGGCTCATCAGAGTAGAGCCTACTTTAATGATATGGGTAAAGCAGAGCTTTCAGAGCCTCCATGTGCTGAAGTGGCACGACTCAATATGAAAAGAAACAGCTGCAAACATCCACTGATAATTGGAACATGGAATGTACAAAGTATGAATCTAGGAAAATTGGAACTTATCAAAAATAAAATGGAATGCATAGAGACATTGACATCCTAGGCATTAGTGAGCTGAAATGATTAGTGAGCTGAAATGAACTGGTTTTGGCCATTTAGAATCAGATAACCATATGGTCTACTATGCTGGAAATGACGTTTGAAGAGGAATGGCGTGGCATTCATGCTCACAAAGAATGTTTCAAGATCTATCCTGAAGTACGATGCTGTCAGTGATAGGATAATATCCATATGCCTACAAAGAAAGCCAGTTAATACTACTATTCAAATTTAGGTACCAACTACCAAAGCCAAAGATGAGGAAATTGAAGATATTTGCCAACTTCTGCAGTCTGAAGTTGATTGAACATGCAGTTCATGCAGTTAAAGTGTGCTGATTATCACTGGTGACTGGAATGCAAAAGTTGAAAACAAAGAAGAATCACCAGTAGTTGGAAAATTTGGTCTTGAAAATAGAAATAATGCTGGAGAGTATTTTGCAAGACCAACAACTTATTTATTGCAAATACCTTTTTTCAGTAACACAAATGGTGGCTCTACACGTGAACTTCATCAGATGGAGTACACAGGAATCAGCTTGACTGCATCTGTGGCAAGAGGTGATGGAGAAACTCAGTATCTTCAGCCAAAACTAGGCCAACAGCTGATTGTGGAACATACCATCAACTACTCATTTGCAAGTTCAAGTTGAAGTTGAAGACAATTAAAACAAGTCCACGAGAGCCAAAATATGACCTTGATTATATCCTTCCTGAATTAAGGACCATTTAAAGAATAGATTTGATGCATTGAACACCAGTGACCAAAAACCAGAGGAATCATGGGATGACATGAAGAACATCATCCATGAGGAAAGCAAAAGGTCATTAAAAAGATAGGAAAGGAAGAAAAGACCAAAATGAATGTCAGAGAAGACTCTGTTACTTGCCCTTGAATGGAGAGTAGCTGAAGCAAATGGAAGAAATGACAAGATAAAAGAGCTAAGCAGAAGATTTCAAAGAGCAGCTCAATAAGACAGTCAATTATTACAACAAACTGTACGAAGATACAGAGTTGGAAAGCCAAAAGGGAAGAACACACTTAGCTTTTCTCAAGCTGAAAGAACTGAAGAGGACATTTAAGCCTCAAGTTGCAATATTGAAAGATTCTATGCAGTATATTGAATAATGCAGGAAACATCAAAAGAAGATGGAAGGAATACACAGAGATGCCAAAAAGAATTGGTTGATGTTCATCAATTTCAGGAGGTGGCATATGATCAAGAACCAGTGGTATTGAAGGAAGAAGTTGAAGCTGCACTGAGGGAAGTGGCGAAAAACAAGACTCCGGGAATTGACGGGTTACCCATTGAGATGTTTCAACAAATGGATGCCCTGCTGGAGGCACTCGCTTGGCTATGCCAGAAGATTTGGAAGACAACTACCTGTCCAACTGACTGGAAAAGATCCGTATTTACCTGTTCCAGAGAAAGGTGATCCCACAGAATGTGGAAATTATTGAACAATATCATTAATGTTGCATGCAAGTAAAATCTTACTAAAGATAATTCAAAAATGGTTACAGCAGTATATTGACAGAGAACTTCCAGAAATGCAAGCTGTATTCAGAAGAGGATGTGAAACGAGGGATGTTTGTTGCTGATGTCAGATGAATCTTGGCTCAAAGCAAAGAATACCAAAAAGATGTTTACTTGTGTTTTATTAACTGTGCAAAAGCATTCAACTGTGTGGATCATAACAAATTATGGATAACATTGAGAAGAACGGGAATTCCAGAACACTTAATTGTGCTCATGAGGGACTTGTACATAGACCAGGAGGCTGTCGTTTGAACAGAACAAGAGAACACTGCATGGTTTAAAATCAAGAATGGAGTGCATCAGGATTGTATCCTTTCACCATACTTACTCAATCTGTATGCTGAGCTGTCGCGGCCGGCGTGACAATTCTAGAACAGGGGGTAAGAGAATGAGTTAAAAATGAGAGAAAAGTTAAAGGATGGGAACGGGAGGGACACTCAGAGCCATTGCAAAGCAGTGCCAACTTTATTATAATTATACTCAAACTTATATACAGGTTTAACATGAGAAAAGTGCATGATTCATATGTCATACAATCAATCACAAGTTAATCAA